CCCCCACTTTGTGTTTTTTTTTTTTTTTTTTAATTTGGAAATTCGTAGGCCGCTCAACAGCCACCCCTTCTTCTTCTTCTTCTTCTTCTTCTTCTTCTTCTTCTTCTTCTTCATTCAAGTGCCGTGGCAACAAATTAACCCCAATTCTTCTTCTTCTTCTTCTCTCCCTCATCATTCACCCCTTCTTCTTCTTCTTTGTAATGAACCCCGTCTGGCAGCTCTCAGAAGTCGTCAAACCTTAGTAGTCTCATTATCTGCACGAAAGTCTCCAAATCGTGAAGTGATAACTCAAACGGTAACTCATTATCATCACAAGAAGAGAGTGGAGGGGGAACAGACAAAGGAGAAGATGAAAGATCACAAATAATCCCTTCAGATCCCTCTGCTACTCCGGGCTTCTTCCCTCTCCACGTCAATAATGATAATAAATATATTCCTGATCACACACAGTAGTGCCACGTGGCACTTAATCTCGTGAAGACCGTGAAGACATTGCAGATTCCAGTGACGACGTCAACCTCAGGTGAGTACCCAACCTCCTTCATTCACAGATCCCGATCTTCCTCCTTCATGCAACCAGTCACCTCACGTAGACAGCGTGGACAGTGCCATATCAGCAATCGCGATAGGTGGCATATGCCACATCACTAATGAAGACCAGAGGCAGCGCCATGTCAGCATGCAATGTCAGAGGCGGCGCCACATCAGCATGCAATGTAGACCACAGGTAGCGCCATATCAGCATGCAATGTAGACCATAGGCAGCGCCACATCAGCATGCAATGTAGACCATAGGTAGCACCACATCAGCACGCAATGTAGACCATAGGTAGCACCACATCAGCATGCAATGTAGACCATAGGTGGCGCCACATCAGCCTGCAACCTCAGCAAGGCTGGTGCAATAACGCAGAAGCGCCAGCATGCTGCCTCCTCATGCTGCCGTCCACTACGCCTGTGCACAGCCAGCGTGTAGCCAGCGTCACACCAGCATGAAGCCAGCGTATAGTCAAAGTCGAGCCAGCGTCAAAGCAGCATAGCAAGACTGAATCTCGAGTAACAAATGTCAAGGCTGTCTGGCCTCAGGTGCTTTCCCCGCAGTCATCCAGATTTTGTCACAGCTGAGGGCCCGGATTGTTCAGTTGCAGACTTCTCCCTTGGACCTGATGCTGTCTGGGCACCTGCGTACAAACAAGTATGTGAGCTTGACCAGTGGCCTGGGCTAGGTACCTTTGGACTTTGACTGTTGGGTTTCCGGCAGTTGACTTTTGTCAACTGCTCCTCGTCCAGGCCCTGAGTCTTGGCTGGGGTCTTTTCCCCGTTTTGGCCTGGGCCTGTAGATTCCATGAGGCTTACTACATGGGTTATTACATCTTCTTCTTCTTCTTCCCCCC